CCCCCCCCCCCCCCCCAAACTATTCTTTTGCTTGATTGTTAACTTTAATTAAATGACTCGTGCGCACTTGATGAAATTATTGAGAATACTGGAGATTATGCGGTCCTAAATGTGTGTTTGACTGCTCTCTCAAAAATTAAGTTGTTAGAAGCTGCGATTGGTTACTTCTTAGACAGATAAATTGTATTGGTGCTCTCGGCTGTTCATACCCCTTAAATATTTATTCAGATTGAAAGAAATTATTTACCTGTTTGTTCTTAAAAAACTTGAAATGTGGAATGGAAGAGATCGCGTACAGGTTGGCGAGTTCCTGTAAAACACAATAGAGAATTGAAAAAAAATTGAATTTAGAATCATCTTTTCTCTCCTATCCTTTCATTAAGAGTGATTATTTGCTTCCTGTAATATTGTCCAAAGACCTTTAATTTATATAATAATTAATATAAGTCAAATTATACTCGCTTTTTGATTGGTTCAACCTACTTATGATCTCTTGAAGGACAGACGTTCTAGCCACATTTTGACGTTATTCGTGATCTGCTACTGAACAGACGCAAGGCAACATGGAATCTATTAGTTAAAAGGATTTCTTGGATCATGTCTCAAGGGTGTTTTATGATTGACTGGTCTGCCATTGCCCCAACTGCTATAAAAAATATCCCACGATAAACAACAACATCAAACTTCCACTCGACGCATACAATCATTAAAAAAAACAAACAAACAATCTAATAAAAAAGCATATCTTGTTTCTTAATATTGACATACCTTAGCTTTTTCAATGTTTACTTTCGCAAAAACTACACCCGGGTACTCCGAGGCCAATTTCTGTGAAAAACATAGAGAGATCCTCGCGTCAAATGAAACTACCACTTTATCATTTGATCGTTGATACAAAGAAACCACGATATGTTAGCAACCATACACTTATATAAAATTTGTGGGCACAAGCACTAAGTCATACCCTGTGTAAAACATTAGAAGACTCCTTTTAATTACTATAAGACACCTTAAAAATATGTTGCTTTAAATAGAAACTGAAGGTTGCTATACAGCATTGGCTATGACGTCACTAGCTCCGCCATATTGGATCTGCCATCTTGGAAGATTCGTATAGGTTTTTAACAACAGCAATTGTTTACCTCAAATTTGGGTCCCATCACCCGACAAGGACCGCACCAATCTGCAAAGAAGTCGATCACGACCAGCTTGTCTCCACTGCTTCCGAGTAATTCGTTAAGTTTTTTCTGTGAAAGAACGAAACCTGTTTCAAACATCGTATGCTTTATGCAGGGCTGATTACGGAAATTTTCGCGGGTTGTATATTACCTTGGAAGTAAAATTACTATTTTCTTGTGAAAAGTGATAAAGTTAAATATATGCTACAGCCATGAGACATGAATCTTCAGGATAATTTTCCGTTTAATAAAAACTGAGCACTTACTTCTTCTAAAACTTTGAATTAGTTCTTCAGTCCTTTAATAATTGTACAAAAAAACTACAGGTATTTTGCCCAGTCAAAATTTCAAAAAAACTTGAAAACTCAAGAAAATAACCTCAGGAAAACTGGGCTCCAATTCCAGCGTTTCTGTGAGTCCGGTTAGAGCAAGGAACGCGGGCTCACAAAAGAGCTAGAAATACAGGGGTAAAGTGCGTTAACTAATTTAATCACATGATACAGGAGTGCTGGGTGCTTATATACAGTGCGTGCCTTAGGTGCCAAGCATCCGAGAATCTTGCAGGTTTTCTAAAAACGGTATTTAGAACTTCAAGTGACAGTTACGAATAAACTCGTGACGAAAATCTAAATTAGAAGCCTATGACCACACATTCAAATGATGGTAGGAATATCCTAGAAGCCTGTGACCACACACTGAGATGATGGGAGGCCTGTGGTCCAATCATAAACACTGATATTCTCGCCTCATCATCAGGGGCGATATTGATATCAAGAATCAACAAACCTACCAAAAAAAAAAAAAAATACTTATCTCACGGGAACAAAAACAGCATCCTACAATAATTGACTTGTAAAGCCGTCAGTTCATTATCGATCAATATATTTTATGGTTATTGAATGTCGAGTTAGAGGTGGTAGTGCTATCCTTTGTATTGAACGAGACTGAGTTAAATTATATATCTCTTTTGAATGCTTTTTTTATCACAGGAGGCTCGAATTAAAATCTACACAGAGCGCCGATGGTTAGAACGAGATTAGTCTAAATAGAACCCGCTGATATTGATTTCGTGTTTAGTTCTGCTTCCCTTTTGAAAAGAATTAAAAATGAAAGAATATTGCTTTCCTTCGACAATGCAAATAACAGAGCGACAATACAAAGTTTGAATTCGCCAAAGTCAAGACTCAGCTCAGAACAAACTGTTCTTTCAAGGAGAATATAACAGAAGATCATATTGCCTCTCGTGTGAACTCCTTCAAAGTCGCCGGTAAAACTAGAAAATCCACAAGGAAACCATCACGTTTTTCTGAGATGGCCAATTAATTTTCATTTGCATATTTCCTTTTCAGAATAACAACAGCTGATTTTGACATATATTTTGTGGGTTTTAATTATACTCCAGTCGTATTTTAATTTATTGTTTGAAAATCAGTTTTGAAAGGGAAAGTCTCAGAATTTTATCGGTCAAACTGTGAATCTGATATTAAATTATTTCTCAACAAAACCGTGCATCCCGTAACTTTTTTATGTAGACTGAAAAACCGACTCTCGAGCATCGTATTAAATTATAACAGAATGAAGTCATAAATATACCCGCTTCTTGAGCGCTCACCAAATGGAAATTCTGTTATGAAATTCAGCCCAAAAGTTATCACTTTGACGTCCATAGCCCAGTTCCTATATTCGAAATCGTTAAATTATAAAACAAACTAGACTTATTTAAAAAAAAAAAACTGAGGAAGCATTTCCAAGACGTGACTTGGAATTAATGAGTTCAAGATCGTTCTGTTTGCTAAATCGATTTAACAGAAAATGGCTGTTCGTTTGATCATCAATTATAGTTGGTTATAAACCTACCACGTTCTTTAGTTCCTTCATCGTCGGTTGATAAATCGTGCTATCTACCGATGTCAGGTTTTCCAAGTAGTTACCGATGATTCATTTGACTCCAGCTAATAGGTCATAATTACTCAGCACTTCGATAATTGGTTTTAAAACAATGTATTTTTAATATTGTCAATCTTGTCCGTTCCTGTTCGTGACGTTTCCGCTACGCAAAGAAATCAAGAGAAAATACAATAATTCAGTCCAATATGAGCCCTGTATAGCAAACGGTTGATAAAACACTGAATTCATCGTCTAACTGTCAATTTCCCACAGCCAAAAATGACTTGTCTCATAGATTTATACCGAGAATTACAACAAATACAGCGCCCTGACAATGTATTTGCCGGCATGTTCTACAATTAAAAGATTACCAAGAAAAATGAAAACAAATAAGGAATTAACCTACCTCATCAACGTTCTTCAATCCATTTAAGGAGTTCTTTCACTGTATTTTGAGTCATTTTGCCGAGTACAAAACTACCTTTAAATTGAAGGAAATCTGATAATGGTAGTTTACTAAGATAGAAAAACACTAAAGAAATAATAATAAACCAAATAACCAAAACGGAGTTTCTGAGATTCGGAGGGGGTCTTAGGTCTTAGACCGTTCAGGTCAGGTTCAATTTTTGTTCCGTGAAGTGGTTCAACAAAGCAGCTCTGAAAAGAGCACCAGCGTTGTTCGACATCTCGGTTTAGCAAGTAATTAACATGCCCCCCTCCACTTTAGACGCTGTTTTGTTCAAGTACCAAGACCACCCAGGGCGTAGCGTGCTTGTTTTATATATGGAATACGCACCGAACAGAAAGTTAATCGATCAAATAGGCGCTCTCGTTTAGAAATGTTTAGCGCTCTCAATGCAATCCTTTCTTTATGGAAAAAAACCATCAAATGTTTGTCAGCTTTTAGAGCCATGATACGCAAAAGGATGTGACCTGTGTTAGAGAGATGTGGGAAAGATTGTAAAGTATGTTCAACTTAGTTCTCACTGTATAAAAATTAAACTGCAAATAATTTTATATTTTAGATAGTTTTAAATTATGGAAAATGCCGTATGTTATGAATCTTTTAAAAAGATGATTTCCAGTCCGTACTGCGCACTCTCGAGAGTTTGCTCACTTTTTTTTTTTTTTCTTCATGTAAGACGTCACATGTAACATATCGCAACTAGCTACATGAACTGAATTTCATGTCAACCGCCATTATGGATGGGAAGTTTTATGCTTCATCCTTTCTTGCATCACTTGATGAATCGAACTCATAGCTGTAAAATTCAAAGAAACTGCTGGAAAAGGAATTTAAAATACCACAAAGATGAGGTAAGTGGTTCGTAAAGAATAGCATTGGTTCGCATTCCATCGAGTGAGACTAACAAGCACTAAGGTTCTGAGACTGCGCAATACGGACTTGAAACCATCTTAAAGTTTTAATTTTTGAAATACTTGTTAGCAATATTGTATTTTATCCGTCCCCGATTAGTGCCGTTGGCGCTAGAACGACCCGACACTTTAATAAAGGATATCTATGTCATGAATGTGTTTTGACGCATCAAAATTTGCACGTAATATGATAGATCATACTCTCCGGGAACACCATGGCCGAGTGACTTGAAATCCGGAAGTTCAGGGTTTAAGTCCTGTTAACGTTCTGGCCACTAGCTCTATCCTCCACAGGGGCTCGAAACATTCGTTTTTGAAATTCTCTGTGAGGTGAGTGCAGGCGCAAAGTGAAATGGATCGATCCGGATCGGGTGGCGGTTGTCATCTGTGTTCCGAGTTCAGTTGCAAATCATTGGCCACGTCTATAAATAACCAAATGGTCTGCCTCCTGCCAGATGGGATTTTGAACCATGTTATGTTTATTGACACTGTATTTCTTTCATCATTTGTTTCCACTGGGCCCTAAAAACCGCCTTTTGGGAAGGGAGTGGCCAATCAAGATATTATTATTATTATAGCTACTAAGCAATCACAAGGTTCTAATTTGGTCACATGGTCTCGAAAAGAACACTGAAAAAATGGAGTGGGTGGGGGGGGGGATAACAGGAGGTATAAAAACTGAAAAAACTTAAAAAGTTGCTGTAGACATAAAAATTATTTTAAGTGACGACTGCTACTCGCAATTATTGGGAGTAGCAGTTCTCCCTTTCTCCATCGTATACACTGAATACCACTTGTAAATTTCAGTTGAGTGTTTACAACGGCAGGAATTTGGCTTGGACTACTGGAGTAAAGGAAACTGCCTAAGGGCCATTTTCATGCGCTAGATCCTCGTTGTGAATTATTCTTGGCTTGCACTATTACGCAATACAAAAGTAAGTCGAAAACCATTCAGTGGATAAAGTTAAGAAATTATAATGTTTTAGGAGATTGATAAAGAAGACACTTCTCCAAGTTTTACGTCTGTGCGTTCTCCTAAACTTCAGACATTCGTCGAAATATTTTGCAGAAATTTACAGAACCCAGTATGGAGCCACCATGTTGGTGTACCTCCGTGGGACACCAACATGGCGGCCGGAAAATAGTGTAAACATCTGGAACTTACTTTGGCTATCAAGGCGATTGATTATCTGTACTGAACAAACAAGCATTTACATAAGCACTTTTCCTAATACTTTAACTTCTGAATAGGCTAAAAATAACGAGATAAGTATATTTTTTCGACAAACGCGTTCTTAACTTTATGTCACGCACCGCCATAGCTCTGAAATTCAAAATGCGCTGGTTTCCAGACGAAGCAAAGTACTGAGCTAAAAAGTTGCGAACAGATATAACTTTACCCCCTCTTGTGCTTGATGAGGATAACAAATTTGGTGGCTCTTTAGTTTTATATTTTAGAAAATGATGACGTCACGTGCAAGCCAAGAATACATGTATGCGTTGGTACATTTGGAATAATACTAGTGATTACTATCTCTTAGGGCACCTCCCCCCCAGAGGGGGTAATGCACACTCCCTTGATCCCTTAAAATGGTGCATGTTCTCCTTTGTTCCCCATTAATAAATTTCATTTTTGCCTAAGTTCCTGTCAATAGAGGAAACATCCCTTGCTCTCTCAAATTAATACAAAAAAAACCCTTGTTTCCATTAAAGAAATTATCCTGTTCCCATGTTCCTCTAGAACCCCTGGGAGAACCTCTTATCTTTTGCAATTTAAGAATAACTTAAAAAGAGGTTTTGTTGATAGTTATTAGGGAGTTTAAGAAGCTACGACGGCGACGCTGAGGACAACGTCGATTAAAAAATGACTTTATATTTTACC